TTAAAAACACGTGTCATCGCGTGTTTTGTGAGCAAATGCTTTTGCATATTCGTAGTGTTTCCTCCCTTAAATGAAATATCTACTTTGCAAGTTGCCCTGTTGTCATCGGTTCTCATAAAGTATAATCAAACTTTTGAGCGTTTGAGCCGCTTAGGCGCCGTGTTTCCTGCCAGGTAAATGACGCGCCGCAACGTGGTGACGTCATTCGGGGCGACTGGAATCGATAAGGGAATCGTTTGCAAAAATGGCAAACGATTCCAAGGAATTGAAACAGTGGGAACCGGTTCTCAACAAGAACCGGTTTTCGATACCCATCCCTAAGGACTTAGCTGTTCAGCCTTTGTAGTCTTTTAAGTTGTTCTATCCCTGAGCAATACATTTATGGTAAATTATAATTGAGAACATATTCTACCATTTTATATCTGTGTCGTGTGATCATCTAATTAAAGCAGGTGTCTCAAACTCTTTCTCTCTTTAGGCCCATGTCACCCGTACTTGCGGCCTGTATGTTGACATGTAGAAATATAATGCAATTTGGTCCTTGAAGTTACTTTTTTTGTTAGGGAAGATTTGTTTGTTGATGAGTGCAATGTTGAAATAAGTTCTTTAAAAAGCAAAAAAATAATAATAATAATAATATGAAGGCAATTTGAGCAGAGAGTACAAACATGTTGACAGATTGACTGTGGTGGTTCAGTGAGAGTTATTTTTAAAGAAAACAAAAAAACTACAAGACACATGGTCCTAAATACAACTAAAAAATAAAAAAAGGTTTTACTTATCCTGCAGTCCTACAGCAGAACCTATAATATGGACTTGATTCCAAGTGTATTGTTATAATCCATTGGTTTATGCAAGCATGGCTCTACGGGGCAAGTCAAAAAAGAGGCAAATTGAAAGTGCAGACTCCCAGTTGGCAGCAGTCTGCCACCTACTGGCTGCCAGCTTGTTGCAGGCTGTTTCTATTTATGCTTATTATACAGAACCTACCACAGGTTTTTCCAGGCAATAATCACACAGTTTTTAAGTTTTCTTTAATAGTTTATTAATATGCTATTAAATAGAACTAGGTGGATCGTCTGGCTGAGTGGTGCGACACAAACAACCTGCTGCTTAACACCGAGAAGACCAAGGAGCTCATCGTGGACTACAGGAGGAATGCTGACCCACATCCACCCATCCACATTAAGGGGACGGCTGTGGAGCGTGTGAGCAGCTTCAAGTTCCTGGGAGTCCACATCTCCGAGGATCTCACCTGGACGACCAACTGCTCCAAGCTGGTCAAGAAGGCTCACCAGCGCCTCTTCTTCTTGAGGACTCTGAGGAAGAACCACCTGTCCTCAGACATCCTGGTGAACTTCTATCGTTGCACCATCGAGAGCATCCTGACCAACTGTATAACAGTCTGGTACGGGAACTGCTCAGCCTCGGACAGGAAGGCGTTGCAGAGGGTCGTGAAAACTGCCCAGCGCATCGCCGGAGCACCACTTCCTGCCATAAAAGACATCTACAGGAAGCGGTGTCTGAAAAGGGCTGGGAAAATCATCAAAGACCCCAGTCACCCATCACATGGACTCTTCACCCTCCTGCCCTCTGGGAGGCGCTACAGGAGCCTCTGGACTAAGACCACCAGGTACGGGAACAGCTTCTTCCCCACAGCTGTCAGACTCCTGAACTCTGCCTCCTGACATCTGACCCACGTTAACACATGGACTGAACATACACACACCCACAATGGACAACTGTACCCTCAAACACACAATAATAACATGGACTGAACCACCACTCACAACCACCAGCACTTTATATAGCCTCTGTAGAAACTATCTACACCCTCACTTATCTTAACTGCACTACTGTATAGCTCTGTGTAAATAATCATTCTGTACATTCGATAATTTTTAACCCTACAACTGTTTACAACTTGCATAGTTCCCATTTCTGTATAGCTGTATATCTCAGATTTCTGTAAAGTTATTTATTTCATATTCTGTATAGTTTTTCATATTTATATCCTGTTCATATCCTGTACATAGCTTGTACTCACTACAGCCTGTACATACTTAGTTATAGAATATTCACAACATACTTCATACCGTGTACATTATAACATACCATAATAGACCCATTTCTGTAATATACCTACATATCTATACTATTGCTAATATATATTGTAATATATCTATATCACTAAGCACTTCTGGATGGATGCAAACTGCATTTCGTTGCCCTGTACCTGTGCATGTGCAATGACAATAAAGTTGAATTCTACTGCTATTCTACTGCTACTATGATATTACATCGCTCAAGATCAGGAAGGTGGAGCTCTCAGATGACGGAATATACAGATGTTTCCTCCCAGAGATACAGAGCATGCAGAGATCTGCAGATATCCAGCTGGTTGTTGGTGAGTTCTTCCAGGAAATGTTTAATATCTAACTCACTGTTGATGATGTCGCACTGAGCTATTCTAGCTTTGACTTTAATGAGTAATTTGACATTATATAAAGTTCTTTTAAGCCTTCTTAGAGAAATTATTATTTGATACGTCATGTAGTATTTTATCTGCCTCTGTTATTAATTAAAAAACGTTTTTTTTCAGAGTCAAACGTTGCTAAAACTGTGGTGATGACAACAGAGCTGCGAACCGGACCTCTGCAAACAGCAGTTGTGAATGAAAAGAACAATGTTAGAGGTAAAAATGATTCTTTACAAAGATCACAACAGTGAAGTGACATATGAACGATGATTTGTGCCCTGAACACACAGAGTTCCAGCTGTGCTGCCTCCTTTTACTTTAACTTCCAGGTTGATCTGTTAAACTTAGGAAGAGGTCAGAGGTCAAATGTGATGTGATAGTTTAAATCTTTATACTTTATAAATGTTGACATTATACGGCGCACTTTTAAGCATAGTAGTTTCTAGGTTTTAAGGCTTTTTGTCAATTTTCCACCAACAAATCATAAAGTTGAATTTGGTGGATGTAAGACAGATTTTAATTGAATTGTTATAATATGATGCTGCTCTACAGCCTACAGAGTTTTAATCAGAATACGTTCAAAACTTTTAGAGCTGTTGTGTTTACAGAGAGACTGAAGTGCAAATGCTACCAACAACATGAGCTCCTTATTGAAGATGATAAGAAACTGCTGAAACTATTTTGAGCTCATCTTTGTTTTACACATGATCTGTACTGATCTGATTGATGAAATATATGCAATTAAAGGTAACTGTCCCTGTGTTCATAGTGCTCAGTGTTTATCTAATAGGTGGAACACTAGAAACTGATCAGACAGGAATGTCAGGTTTGCAGTGACTCATTAGTTCCTGCTTCCTGCTCAGCTTCAGTGACTCATTTCACTTTGACAGTGAAAGTTTGGATCACTGTGTCATAGTCTGGAGTCTTCATCTGTGGTAAGTCGTTCTCTTTTTTTTGTTTCTTTGGTTTGTGGGGTTTGTGTGTGTGTGTTTGTTTTTGAGACAGGGAACAAACAAACAAGAACTTTATAACAAAACACTAAAATTTGTTGTGAAAAACTATGGCATTGTTTTTTTGCCACTATTCTGAGCACATGTAAAAAAAAAAAATGAGACCACGTAAAAAGAATTTGCAAGTACACGTGTTGCATTTTGAGGAGAAATTTATTTTGAAAGAAGAAAAGCTAAACTTGAGTGAACAAAATTCATTGCTGCATGCAAAAAAAATTAATTTCAGTGTTTGCTATGTCCCTGGTAGTAACCAGACCGAAAAGCAGCGCACATTTCGGTGCTTTATTTCGGTGCTTTTTTTTCCTGAGCTGTGATACACTTTAGATTCTAGCCAATCATTTTACGTTTCCGAGGATAGTAGGCGGGGCCAGGTACGTACGTTCTTTTAGAGCAGAGCTACAGATTAAAAATGCCCAAGGCGAAGCGGTCAAAGTCTGGCTGTACTTCACAGCAAAATATGCAAACTCAGCAGCCTGCAACAAGTGCTCGGGTCAAGGGCAGATGCTGATGGCTCAACAATCCAGTGAAGGATGACACAGGTCCGCCATCATAAATAGTGCTCCAAATCAGCTGGGATTGGCTGCAGGTGTGACGGTGAGCACAGATGCGTGGGCCAGGGACAGGAGCCCATAATGAGCACCGCCCTGGCAGAGGAGAGAGAGAGCACAAAGGAAAAAAACAAACAAAACACAGAGTCAGCCGGTGAGGAACGGGGACCATCACAAAGAAACAGTGATAATTTTCCAGTTTGTCTTTTAACTGAATATCCATATTTCCTGCAATGCAATTGATCTGTCTTGTAACGGTTTGTCTGAAGAGGAGTACATTTTAAATGATTACCTTTTAAGAATTTTATTTTAAAATAATGGAATTTTTTAAGGGCATTTTAGCATGAGAATGGCTTAGTGCAGGGGTGTCGAACTCCAGGCCTTGAGAGCTGGTCTCCTGCAGGTTTTAGATATCACCCTGGGTCAACACACTCGACTCAAATGATTAGTTCATTACCAGGCCCCTGGAGAAGTTCAAGACATGTTGAGGAGGTAATTTAACCATTTAAATAAGCTGTGTTGGATCAATGACACATCTAAAACCTGCACGACACCAGCTCACCAGGGCTGGAGTGTGTGTGTTGTTTTTGCAGATTTGATATATGCCCTTTTTTTTGCAGACATCTAGAATGAGTCGTATGAAGGATAGACATCGCTTGGTTTTGCAACATGTTGTGATCCTCATTTTTTTAACACAATCTTGTGGTGGTAAGTTGCACACCAACATTTAGAAAATCCACAGTTTAAAGTACTGACCTTTAGTTTTTAACAGAACATGAAAACAAACACTGTAACAACAACAGTTTATGTTGATTTAGTTAAATAAATCAGTTACATATCTTACTCAGCCTGATCTTGGAAACTCATGAAGTCTCCAGAATTACAAAACTGCAGAATTTGTTTGTGTGCCTAAATTTATTAGGTCAACATCAGATGATTGGTCCAACTCAGCCAGTAGTGGCCATGATTGGTGATGACATCATTTTGCCGTGCCACCTGGAACCTGCTGTGGATGCTGTTGACCTGACTGTGGATTGGTCCAGAAAGGACCTCAAACCTAGATCTGTCTATGTGAGGCGAGAGGGTGTGGAGCTTCTGACTGAGCAGAATCCTTTGTACACAGGAAGAACATCACTCTCTGTCAACAAACTGCAGTGTGGAGACGTTTCATTAAAACTCTCCACAGTGCAACTCTCTGATGCAGGAACATACAAATGCCTTGTACCTAAATTTAATGCAGAAACTGTGGTGACACTTGCTGTGGGTAAGTTTCATTAAATTTAGATTAATTTCTTTACTTTGCAATTTAGATGTGAAGAAAGACTTTAAGCAACATAGATATTGAGGGTCAAAGGGCACTCAGAATGACAAGAAGGATAAAGGAACACTTGTGTCAGCTCCAGTAGAAAGTGGATCACAGACATGTGAGTTGAGAATAGAAGTGCATTTATTTTGGGTAACCAAACCAGCTCTGATTTGGGCTAAAAAATGCTTCTTGAACATATATTTGGACTGAGCATACCGACACAAACTGACAAGAGGGAATCCCTACTGAATCATTGGCAATCTAGTATTCTGGCCATAGGGGTACACAACCTGACCAGTGTAGCACATGGAACAGCTGGACAAATAAGAGAGGTGCATAACAAAAACCAACAGTATTTATAATTGGAGGGGATTTGTGCACCCACTAAATGGGCATTTAGCCAACCGAGGGGAGTTGGCCCCATGATAAAAACACTACAGCCAAGGAGGCCCTTTTAACGACCAAGAGGGACCAGAGGAACGTTGATTTGACAAAGGAAATACTTGGATAGGTACAGGGTAATTTCAGCCTATATACAGGAATTTTGACAAGAGCAAATGGAATAAATAAGAATATTCGAATTTTGTCCTGCCAGATTGGCAATGTTGATTTCACATATCATTGGGCCAATCTATAAGTCTCTTAGGACAAGAACAATGTGAGTTAAGATTGATCAGAGATAAATTTGGGCGAACAGTAACTATTTAATTCTTTTCTTTGCAGGTTCAGTTTCCTCACCAGTCATAGAACTCACTAATGTCAAAAAAAAATGGTGTTAGAGTGTAAATCTAATGGCTGGTATCCAGAGCCTCAGATGTTGTGGGTGTACAGTGAGGGAAAACCCATTTCTGTTGAACCTACAAAGAATGTCAGAGGTTCTGATGGCCTCTATGCTGTCAGCAGTAAAGTGACTGTGGAGAAAGGACAGAGCTACAGCTTCACCTGCAAAGTTCAACAGAAGAATATCAGTCAAATCAAAGAGACACACATCCATGTTTCAGGTAGAAATGCTTTTTTCTTATATCACTCACATTAATTTTCAGTTACAGAAAGTAGAATCTAGAACATTTTGTCTCCTTGTATTTACAGGTGATCTCTTCATGGTCCAGTCTAATACTGCTGTTCACATTACCATCAACTTGACTGTCTGTTTAATAAGCGTCGGGACAGTAATATTCCTAATATGGAAATGTCGACAAAATAAAACCAGTAAGTTCAAACTTCATGGTACTTTTTACCCCAACCTCAAATTATCATCAGACCTTTTTAATGTCTTGTTTTAGTGTAACTGCCTTTAAAATAAAGGGCTAAGAAGTACAAACGTGATTCAAATAAAAATGACACAAACACATAAACAACAATGTTAAAGGCACCCTAGGGAAAACAGTGGATGGAGATTGCAGCATGACCAAAATTATTACAGCAATGATCTTGTAATCTCATTGCCTTTATAATTGTTGCTTTGAAGATGCAGTTAATGTAATTGCTGCAGGGCAGCGGTTTACCAGCAAAATTGAAGGCTCTCAACAACTTTACTTTTATAAAAGAATATAACCAGCAACCTGCTGAATGTGTAAAACTTTTCCTCTATTGTGACTGAGACATTTGGGGGGGGATAGGTAAAGATATTTGAGGAAATCACCCACTGTAAAATTATTGTTATAGCAACAATAATAATAAAAAAAAAACTTTTTGTGCTTCATCCTGATTGTATGTATTGCCATCAAAATATCATGTTCGCACTCATTTACTTCTATAAACAACAAAGTGAAAGGAAATTAAAATGTGAGAAATATGTATAAATATGTATGAATAGATATGTGATTTTGAATAAAATTGGCAGCACTTCTCTAATGTAATAGTAATGCTTCAAACTATCTATTTTTATTTACATTTTAATACTGGTATAGTAATTTAGAACTGCCAGCACATGTGTAATACATAGAAATTACCAAAATTTTATCCCTATGATCTACATAATTGTAGATAAATACAGTTAAATACAGGGTATTTATATTAACCCTTATATTGATATGTATGTGGATATACATTCTAATCAAGATTGTTTCATGTTTTTATTCATTTTTTAATTTAAATTAGTATTATATTATACAGTAATTAATAGTCTTGAAGAGTTTATATATTTTGGTTTGTTTGTTTTGTTTTGTTTTAAGAAGCATCCAAGTATGTGTTTTAGCTCTCAGCGATATTAGGTTTAAACATTTTTTTTCCTGCAATTTTATTCTAACAGAAAACAAAAGCCTTGAAGATGAGTTTCAGAACAATGAGGAAGACTTAGAACATGTCCAACAAACCATTAAAAAACTCAAGGAGCAGAAGACATCTCTGAAGAACCAGAGAGAAAAACTCATCACACTGATTCAGGAGGACAAGGCAGAGAAGAAAGAAATCATGTTGGAGACTATCCCAGCTTTGGCTTTGGATAAATGCAAACAAAGGCAAAAGCTTACAAATAAAGAAAAGGACCTGGAAAAGAGAATGGAAGTTCATGATGAACTGTTAAAGATGACAGAAAAGCTAATGGAGGAAACAGAGAACATTATAATCCAGATGACAGAAAGAAAGGGAAAGTTAGAAAAAGACAAGGAACAAATTATTAAACACTTGAGAGAGAAACAAAGAAATGAAAAAGATTTTGAAGAAACTGTCAGAGAAACAAGCGAGAAACAATGAACCGGTGTGTAAGAACCCAGGATGAGTTTTTCTTTAATATGTCAATGCTAAAATCACACATACAAACTGTCATGTTGTGTTCAGTTTATGTTCCCAGTGTCTTCAGTAGTGAACCTAACCCTATTTTTTTCTTTTTTCCTCAGCAAGCAACAGAGTAACACGATAAATAAAACGTGGATTTTGCATTGCTGTCATTTTGCGATGCGATACCTGATATGTCTTTATTTATTTGCTTTAAATTTATATTATATACACTTAAACAAGACATTTTGACTGTATTTTATCATAGGAGATGTTGTTATGATAAAATGTATCAATATTTTTTAATCTTTTTAATCTTCTGTCTGTGTGAAAGTAAGAATTACACTGTGAGAGAAAGAAGAAAATATGCTGTATGTATTGTATTGTTGTGAGATCTGTGGTAGAAAGAGACTAAAGTCCCCCCCAGTCATCGCTAGATCAGAGGTGAGAGAGATTAAAAGATTAAAGAGATTAAAGGGTCTTAATATTCAGACTTATGTGAGTAAGGCCACACACAAGGTCACACTAATACGTTTTCGTTTGAAAACGCATCTTTTTCTCTCCGTTTTGGCCTTCAGTCCACACTGAGACGGCGTTTTCAGTCAAGAAAAATGGAGCGTTTTGAAGATGTTCTTCAAAGCGGATACATTTAAAAATGTTGTTTTCGCATCGCAGTGTGGACAGCGTACCTGGAGCCTTTTTGAAAACCATGACGCATTTTAGTCATGTGATGCAGTCATGTGACCAATTAAACTAAGACAGCGGAGGGCAGTTGTTACAGCAGTTGTTTTGTTTGCTCTCAATTTTGACAGCTCTATTAAAGATTAATATCAGTTTGTACATGCTCCAGATAGCTTTTCTTCAAATTCTTTAATTCCCACTCGCTTTTGCAACTTTGTACTTTTGTGTTACTCGCAGCAACAACTCCACCTAATTGTTAGTCCATTTAAAAAACTTGGTGCTTTTCCTCAACATTTTGCCGCAACGTTTTTGGACGTTTCAATGTGCACTCACAACTCTGTGAAAACGACTGAAAATGGTAGTGTGGACGCGGAGCGTTTTAAGATGAAAACGCCATTTTCAAATTTATCCGGACTAGTGTAGACTAAAAGCCTAAAAGTCATCAAAGTTCTAAAACGGAGCTTTCCCTCTATTTCCTCATAATAAAGCTTTTTTAATTTTAATCAAAGATGAATCAAAATATAAGTTTGATCAATATTAGATCACTATTTCAATGAGAAACAAAGTTTGATTAATGGAAATAACTGTTTTAATGTCTGAGTTTTGTGGTGGTGTGTAAGTGCTCATGAGCAACTTCAACCTTTACAGTTTTGTGTCTAATTCCTCACCAAGAGTCTGACCTTGGTGTGTGTGTGGGTGTGTGGTGCAGGATGGGGGGGTGAAAGTGACAGCCTGGGGCCACTAATTTAAGAAAATATCTGACTACAAAATGTATGATTTAATAAAAGAAGTTTAATAAAATAAGTCATTTTAAAAAGTGAATTAACAGAGTTTAAAGATGTGAAAGTATTCCTCTGTGTTTGAATTATGTTACAATAAATTTTCATGTGAAAATGTGCTAAAGAATGTTAAGAAAAACAAAGGAAATGTAATGAATTGATTTTAAAGTTTAAAAGTACAAACTTTGTGTTAAATCATATTATAATTCAGAGAGACAGAGAGTGACAGATAAGGTGGACATAGGGTGATAAAATATCAACCACTTGATTGGATGTCCAAAATGTGAAGATGTGACGCCCAGTATGAGAAAGGGGAGAAAGGGTGAGCAGGTAAAAAATGGGGTATAAACAATGTTCCCTCTAATTTTTCACGTGTCTGAGCGAACACACAAACTCCCTGAGCGATCCCTTGGACCACTGTGAGCGACATCAGACGTGTGCACTGTGGTCATGCCAGCATTGAATCCATCCAAGTTACATGATTTATTAAGATAATCAAATCACAGCATTTACATTTATGTTAGACTACTTTTGATTAACTGCTTTAGCCCCACTTACAATGAAAATGTAAAACAAAAATGTAGTCATTGACCTGTGTAGTATGTTAACACTATTGGAAGTAAAAATAACTTGAACTCAAATTTTGAAAACACAACTTTCTTCTTTTTTATTTTTTTTTATTTTTATAAAGCTCTGACTTGTATTATGAGTCTGAGTCTGTGGTCTGGGAGAGAGTCCTGTAACTCTGTCTGCAAAATACAGTATATAATGACCAATGTTGGGCAATTAATTATATAGTTACTTCTTCAAAAAAGTAACTGAGTTTGGCAAACAACAAAGTTTTTTGAAGCTATTTTTTTTTTAATGCAGCCAAGGTGTTTTTTTTAAATAAACATTTCAAACTATTTACAGAACAATCAGGTGTTCTGCATCAAATTTGATGCCATACAAATCCTTTGTGCCACTCCAAAAATAATTTCTGTCCACATAAAGGAGAACATCACAAGCCTGATACCTGCAGGCCTGACAACAGGAGATGTATCACTCCTGTAAAACCTGTAACATTCAGCAGTCGCCTCATTTTTCTGACACACACAACAAAACTATTGACTACACTACACACTAACTACATAAGATTTGCGCAATGTTGCAAATCTCTCACATCTCACATCTCAAAACACTGCCGTCACTCCTAAAACTTCCCCCCGTTTCTTAACAACTAGATGCCATGTTGCCATATCATTTTTTGATTGGTCGACATGGTACTTTTTTCGACCAATAGGGAAGGGTGGGGGTGTTTTTGGTTTTGTTTTTGCTCACAGGCGGAAAGCTCTTTCGAGCGTTTTTTCTTATAGACCGTTTCTTCCCGTAGTAAATATAAACAACGACAGTATTCAGGAAGAAAACCAAACATTGCAGATATTTTTATCATAACTCTGGTTTTACGTGGCCGATCAACACAATTTAAAAACTGGTATAAAGTCCACACTTTCTCCATCAGTTGTTCCGTCTGTCCTGCTCACATCTCCAATGGTTGTACACGTTGTCATTAACGTGGTTTCACTCCACATCAGCCACGCCACTTTGCTAGCTAAAACACCGGTGTCGGCACATAAGGACGCTGTCATAGCCTGTCAACCACGTTGATTAGCTGCGTATATACGAATGTGAATCGCATTATTGGCTGGACTATGGGATAAGGTGGCATCGTTCTAATCCCATACGGAGCAGCCACTGACTAACACTGCAAAACAGAATTGTTGAAGTTTTAATTTCAATTCAGGTTAGATTTTTTTGTGCGCAACGCAAGTTTTCTGTGCGCAGAGACCGTGCCAGCAGTGCGCAATTGCGCACGTGCGCAGCTTAGAGGGAACATTGGGTATAAAAGAGATTTTGGGTTCTTCCCCTTTGTCTTCTGTGAGATGAGCAGTTCAGAAGACTCGAGGTGAAAAGAGGGGAAAATTCTAGCAGGGACACTAAAAGGGGTAGTGGAAGTCCAAACTTTGAACCTGTGAATTGATTGTGGAATTTATATCTCTAATAAAATATTCTGCAATTAAAGTCTAAATTGTGGACATTTTAACTTTAAACAGTAAAAAGATAATGGTCTGAGTATTACTCTTTATTAGTGCAAATAGCTCTTACATGTTACCCTGCCAATCAAAACAGTAGTTGGTGATGACATGGCATTTTTTTTTCGAATCTGCCATCAGTGTTGTTTCTAAGGCTGAGAAGTGGACCAGATCTAAGCACAAATAGCACAAGATGATAGAAATTACTTTTGAATGTGTTGGATGCATTTTGTATAACAGTCTGGATAAAACAATATTCAATACACTGTTGCTGTCTTTGTTCACCATGATTAATTATCCCAAAAGGTTGATTCTGTTCAATGAGGAAACTTATGACACTCACCAACTTTTTGATCATGTGAACACAGCAGGATCATGAGTCATCACTGAAGAAATCAAAAACAGCTACAACTTACAAAAATTCCTACAGCTGCTAACAAATGTATTATAAAATCTCGTAATTGGTACAAAAATTTGTTGAGAAAAATTAACTATTAAGTCTTTGGAATTTAATAATTGCTGTTATTGAATTGTGACTATAATGATTAATAAATAAGCTGAAGCTTATTTTTCATGTGGAAATAGACACTTACACAGTCTGATGCACAGAGCTGTGACATCCATGATGCTGTGTGGACAACTGACAGTGAGCATGGGATGTTCTACTGTGTGGTTTCTTTCTGCAGCGAAAGCGATGCTAAACAAAAACAGTTTTCAAAGAAGCTGCGTTGCATTCAAGTTACCCACAGTGTTTCAGATCACTATCTAAGAGAAGAAGGGAAAAAAAGCTTCAATTTTCCCACAGTGAAGGACTCCCACTAGATGCAGAAGAATAATCACCATCACCATGATGCAAGAGAAAATATGGTTTAAGAAGGAAACTCATTGACTCTGTGTAAAAAAAAGAAAAAGAAAAATGGAATCAAGGTAGCAACAAGAGAAAATTGAAGGGAGCAGTGGGCATCTTTGACATTAATCTCAATGCCATCATTAAAATGCTTTTTAACCCTCTGGGATCCAGGGTATAATTGACCGTTTTTGACTACTTTTGATTTTACCTCCATATTTCACCTTTAAAAACTTGGAGTTATTTTTTCATTTTGGCATACTATATTAGAACAAATTGATCTAAGTTCATACAAAAAAATTAAAATCAGAGTGGAAAAAAGTTTTACAATAAAATTCAATAAATAAAATAAATAGAATACTTGAAGTGCTGAGTGGCGTGATGGACATTTTTTTGTAGCAGCATTCAGACATGTTATTACAGTTGGATAAAAGCTGTGTTTGAGTCTAAGAGTTGTGTTTGAGTCTATTTGTCCTTACACTGAGTGCTCTCTGCCTGAGGGCAACAGTTTAAACAGGGAGTGGCCAGGATGTGAGGTATATTTTATAATGTTTTGGGCTTTTTTAAGACAGTGAGTATTGTGTAGATCTTCCAGTGTGGGGAGAGGGCAGCCAGTGATCTTTTGGGCGGTGTTAATGATCCTTTGGAGTGCTTTCCTCTGGTCCACTGTGCAGCAGATGCATATGCAATAGGTTAGTACACTCTCGATGTTGGCTCTGTAGAAGGACACCAGCAGTCTCTGTGTGAAGACAGGATGTCCAAAATACTCGCTGAAAAGCCTTCAGTTAATCCAAAATGCTGCAGCAAGAGTCCTGACAGGGACTAGAAAGCATATTTCTCCTGTTTTGGCTTCCCTTCATTGGCTTCCTGTTAAATCCAGAATCGAATTCAAAATCCTGCTCCTCACATACAAGGTCTTAAATAATCAGGCCCCATCTTATCTTAATGACCTTGTAGTACCATATCACCCTATTAGAGCACTTTGCTCTCGCACTGCAGGCCTACTTGTTGTTCCTAGAGTATTTAAAAGTAGAATTGGAGGCAGAGCCTTAAGTTTTCAGGCCCCTCTTCTGTGGAACCAGCTTCCAGTTTGGATTCGGGAGACAGACACTATCTCTACTTTTAAGATTAGGCTTGTAGTTGCCCTGATGCTTATCTAGAGCATAAATTATCTAGAGCAAAAAGAAGAACAATAAGTACTGGAAGTTATGGTATGGCCCCAACAGAGCTCTGATCTCAACATCAT